AGAAGAAACAAACGTCAGCATAAAGATCAGCTGCTGAAATGAATATTTCAAAAAGACGCATACAGCGAATACAGCATGAAGATCTTAGTTGTTTCCCGTAAAAAACATTAAGCAACAAAAACTGACTGATCTTCAAAACACAGAAGAGGATTATGTACCTAAATTGATCGTTAAATAATTACATCAAACACGACACCAAAAGGCGGCTTTTTACCGATGAGGAAGTTCTTAACCTAGATATAATACACAATGCTCAAAGCGGTCGAATATGCGATGTGAACAGGAAAGAGGCTAACAAGAAAGATGCTGTTCATGAGAAAACAAAATTTCCGGTGAATATGATAATGGAATTAGGTGTATGTTAACAAGGGCTAATAGTGTCCGAAAGTTGGACAGGGGTCGTGAAAGTGGAGAGTGTATACCCCCTCCCTCCAAGAATTGAAAATTTTCAAATTTTTTCAGTGGCAACAGTAGATTTTCTGTACGTTTTGCCTTTTTTCGCAAAATTTAGTTGCCAATACTTCCTTTGCATCCCGCCGTCCACCTCCCACCCGCTATCGTAGGTCCTTCGTACGATCCCTGGATTTAGGAAGATGGAATAATGGATACCGAACATATACAGGGGTCGCGGCAACATATGCCAAAAAATCAGGAAAATAGGCAGGAAAATTTTTAATAAATATCAGAAAATTATAAAAAATCAGGAATAGTAAAATTCATGTTGATACTATTTTTTAGGATCAAGTCTGCATAAAAATGAATGAAGCAGTGTCCTTGGTGAAAGTTGAAACTAGGGATACAATGATGACAGCGAATCACAGGTACACCGGCACATACCGATAACCGGTAGGAAAAGGTTATCGCCACCGTTGCATCCATAGTTCAAACGTACGTTGCTGCGAAAAGAGATACGCACTGCGCGTGTCATGATGTTAAATGTGGTTCATTTACTGACAAGTACACCTAAATCACGCCAGCTGTTAAACCCTGTTACTATGAATTTTCTAAAAAAGAATGTGCGTCAAACGTTGTAAAGCTAAAAGGAGGGCTTTAAACGTTTGGAGATTGAATCTTTATAAGATACGGTCAATTTATTACTTCATTTTGATACTCGTGAGTTAAAATTGCCACTCAAATTCTCATGAATCTTCATTAGAAAATATTCTGATAACGAAAGGATTTAGCTAGTTTGGAACTTGGTAAATTTAATTAGAATGAGCATTATATTAATATTTACCAAAAGCTTTAATTTGCACAAATTTAAGTGCAATATAAGCTAGAGTGAAAATGAGCACTTTGTAGCTAAATTGAACGCCTGGCATATAACGAATAAACCGACTTTGTTTTGACTTTCTGAGAATTTCAGAAATTTGAGCAAAATCCTTTTTAAACAGAAAAAGAGAGAAAAATTTTTCTGTTCTAGATGAACATCGGTCTTTTTGTCAGAAAACATTTCCTTTTTATATACAAAATAATGAAATCAAAAGTGGCATAAAAATTAGTATTACAGTGAGAGATGAGCACAGGACAAGATTTTCTCTCCTGTCCTACTAGCTATCTCGGTCCTGGCGGGCGGCAGGACAAGACGTCACGATTTCTGCCGTTTTTCTACCAATTAAATCAGTTTTCACAAGTTGTAAAATGTCAAGAGTGAGTTTTACTTTTACTTTCATTGTACAAAGCAAATTTCACCAATTAATATTTTCTAACTAATGCATTTTATATAGTTTTCAAGAAAAAAAATATAGTAGAGATGAGCACAGGACAAGGATTTTTTACCTGTCCTGTTCTGCTAACTTTTCTGTCCTGGCGGGCGGCAGGACAGGACAAAAATAAAAAATCTCGTCCTGTCCTACAGGGCAGGACATCAGGACAACAGGACCGTCCTGTCCTGTGCTCATCCCTGACTGCAGTGTGTAACTTTTTTTCAAAGTTTTTCCTCTCGGTCGACTTTGTTGAATTAAAACCTTCATTAGCTTTTTATTTTCTATTCAATGTAGACTTTGATACAGTTCTTCTGACAAATTTTTTCATCGAATATTCTATTCAACACACGCTGCACATCTTCTTTCTTAACTAAAAATCGTTGCGTCAGTCGATGAGATGATTTGTTTTTTTTCCTTCTTGGAGTCATTGTTTAACCATTTCAAAGAATTTTTTTTACGAATTCAACTTTTCAACCTAGAAATTCACTTTGCACAGAATAGTCTTGTACAATGTTTTTATCCACAGATAAAGATTAATAAAAGTATTCAAATTTAACTGTTAGAACCAGTTTTATTGTACATAGGAACTGTATTGCTTTTTGAACCTTCTTTTCTTTAGTTAATTTGTCTATCCAAACAATACCTTTTGGTCTATGGATTTTATATTCGTACAACGTAAAATTTTTATCTTTTTTCTTTAAGAATGATTTTGTTAGAAACGTTTCACTATTCTAAAAAAAAACAGAACAAAAATAATTCATTCATTATGTGACATCCATTATGTCTGTCTACATCTCTTCTAATTAAATGTTCATTCGTGGCATTCTCAGCACTGCATTGCTGTTTCTGTGTAAGTACTGGAAAATGACACACTATCATCAAGAAATATTCTAGCACAACAATAATGAAAAAAAAATAAAGAAAAATTCCCTACATGCCCTTAGACGCAGCCGCGCCATTCCATGCTCCTCAAGAAAGAAATGTGTGAAGCAGCTGTGGTGCTGGTCGAAAAGTCTGGAAGACGGTGGCTGATCGAACCGCTATTTTGTGACCATCACTATCCTTACCTCGTTTTTAGACACAGGGCACATCTCTAGTTACTAATGCTACCCTAAATACTTTGAAAATTGGATTGTTTGAAAATGGAGAGAACGTAAACCGATTACGAAAAAGCATGAAAAAATGAGTGACTGAAATAAATATTGTTTGAACATTATATTTCTTTTTTTGTTTAAGTTATTCTATAAATATTTTGAAATACATTTCGAAAGATAAACTGATCATAATCAAATAATGCACTGTAATCATTTAGATATAGCTCTACAAGAATAAGTCAGGATTTTCAGTCAAAATCAGCAAAGACATGTCACTGCGAGCCCTGTATGTATCAATGAAGCTCTTCCTACGGCTCTAAAATTCGATAACAAAACGTTAGGAAACAATTGGACATACCAGCAAAATGTTACAAGAGCTTACACACATAATCTGAGCCAACAATGGTATGTTCATAATTTTCCTGTATTTATCGCAAAAGATCGTAGACCACCTAAATAACCTGATTTACATCCATCTGATTACGATTTATAGAGTGAATTGGTTGATGCTATAAATTGGGATCACTTAACAACAAAGACAACACTGAGAGGTCAATTCAAATGTTCACTTTAAAAGGTTGAAAAAGAAAAATTTTTGATTCGGTAGTCGATTTTACTTTACGACTATGTTTAATACAGAAAATAGAAGAATCTCATTGTTTATTGCCATGGATTCTAGGATAACAGAAAGCTTCAACTAAGTAATAAAATAATCGATTGAAACTATTTTTAAACAAATCCTTGAAAAAGTAAACTTGTTCAATTATAATTTATCTGTTGTACTTTAGATACAATGATACACCCACACACATACCTAAAAGCTAATTTTCTTATCTTCTGAAACTTATGTTCATAACAAACACAATGTTCTGATTAGGAAATGATTAGAATAATTTCCTACCGGGAACATTATTATGAAACATATAAATTATGCTTGGCATCTCTCCTAAACATTAATAATCCAAAACTTTTGATAAAACTTGAATATAATTTTAAAGATAGACGAAGAAAATTTAATTTAATTATATTATTAAAAGTTTTTCATTTGATATGAGACAATTGAAACAAAGTAAAATATGAAAAGTGTGGTTGATGCGACGCATTTATTAATTCGACTTACAAAACAGATAATTAACTATATTTCTAACATTGTCTAACAAAGTTTGGCAACAATAATAAACTAAAGCGAATACTAATCATCTCAATTGTACTATTTCGACATAAATCAATTATAGAAGAAATTATTTATCATGATAAAAGAAAACCCAAGAGATTTTTAATTCTTGATAAATACTATATATATATATGTATCAAACTATTTGTATATCGTCTCAAAATTCAAATGAATGAGTACTTCTTCAAAAAAGAAAATATCTTACATTATTTTTTGATGTTCATGTTTCACAACAACGTATAAATCTAGATTAGCATTGAACATATTGATAAACACCTAGTTCAATTGTATAAATTTTTAAAATATTTACCAAACGATAAATACACCAAATGACAGTTAAAATTACACTAGAATTCACTAAACAAACAGATTAATCACTTCCATCGAAATACTAGTCGCTTAAAATTAAGTAATGTGTGATTCATTCTATCATTGGCGGTCAAGTTAATTATTTCTTTCATCCTTCGAAATTATAGAAAAAAGGTCAATTATCAAATTTTTCGTCACTCTAATGGTTCCAAAATATATCCTTGATTCATTAAAAACGAACGACTATTTATAGTATTTGACAATATGAAAATAAATTCTACTCATTCTTTTGTAATCAATTGATCAAAATATAATTTGCAACTAAATAAAGTTGGAAGTTTCTTGTTATTTTAAATATATTTGTTGAGAAATTTTTTTTTTAAGAAATTCAAAACGATTATTTGGTGAAAATTAGGTTTTTAAGTCTAGAGACATTGCAAACGTTTCCAACTGGCATAATGATTCATCACTAACATTCATCTATTTAGTAAACCAATCAGAGTTTGTGTTCACTACTTTAGAGGCCATTACGATTGTAATGTTATGTCTCTTGAAGCACTCATGCTCACTGACTTGTATTTTATTGCAGCATTCAATCTTTTCTGGAATACTAATATTTCGAAATAATATGAAGCAAAATGATGCAATGTTCTTATATTTACATCACGTTTTTCAATCATATACTGTATTTTTTGTTTCACTCTTTCGTATTAATCAATGGCGACGTCAATTGGAATATCAACCGAACAACTTGAAGCTTGTTCTATTCGTAAATATTATTTAGAATTATTAAAATATTGAATTCTTCATGATTGTTTTTGAATGATTTAGAAGGAACAATTGTTTATACATCGGAAAAAAATGGTAGTGATGAAAATGGTGATGGATCAGAAGGAAAACCATTTAAAACTCCATTACAAGTATTTATGACAAAAAAAAACATTCGATTTTTAATTATTTGTTTTATTAGGCGTATCGTCAACATGGAGAGAATGTAACTGTTTATGTTGATTCAAAAGATGAAACCAAAGTAAGATTTTATATTTTATATTTGTTTATTTATTTATTTATTTATTTATTATCATTTAGGGTAAATGGGAATTATTATCAAAGGCTCAAGCAAAAAAAGTAAAAACACGATATGAAGAAGAAAACCGCAAGGAAAAAGCTGCAGTCGAGCGAGAAGTAAATTACGAAAAAGAAGGAAGAAAGTAAATTCTCTTTGTTTTTATCTAATTCATTCTAGGAAAAAGATCGATTACAACGAGAAGAAAATTTAAAAAAAGCAAAAGAAATTACAATTACTGAAGATTCATCATTACCAAAAGCAAAAGTGGTATGTGAAATAGAATTTTGAGAAAATAATATTTCATTATAATTTTAGCTTAAAATCAAAGCACTAAAAAATGAACATGGTACCCGTGTTAAAGTATTTGGCTGGGTACATCGGATTCGACGACAAGGTTTTATATATATATATATGTATGAATCAATTTATTTAAAATTCATCTTTATTTTATTTAGGAAAAAATTTAATGTTTATTGTTTTACGAGATGGTACTGGATTTTTACAATGTGTCTTGGCAGATAAATTTGTATGAAAGAAAATTTTTTTTTCTTTCGTAAGAAAAGTATAATTTTTCTTTGTTTGATAGTGTCAAACATATGATGCAGTTATATTATCAACTGAAGCAACAATATCAGTATGTGGTGTTGTTCGTCCTATACCTGAAGGTCAAACAGCACCCGGTAATCAAGAATTAGTAGTTGATTATTTTGAAGTTATTGGACATTCGCCACCTGGTGGTGCTGATACATTACTCAATGAAGTTTGTTTATATGATTTAAATTTATTTATTTATTTTTATTATATTGTTATATTGTATTATTTCAATAGGAATCGCATCCTGATGTTCAATTAGACAATAGACATATGATGATTCGAGGAGAAAATGTGAGTTGATTGTTTGTTTTTCTTTCTTTGATATTCATAAACAAAAATGTGTTGATATAGACATCAAAAATTTTACGTCTTCGTTCAATCGTTACACAATGTTTTCGTGATCATTATTTTGATCGAGCATATTATGAAGTAAGTATGATTACTAAAAGAAATTTATATTATTCAAAGTCTGTAAAAGATACTTTGATAACATTTCTACTTTATATGAAGAGAGTTCAATAGATCTCTAATGATATAGAGATTTTCGTTTCTGCTTCTAATAATTTTTAATTTAATTCAATTAGACATTTCCACCAACTCTCGTTCAAACACAAGTTGAAGGTGGTTCTACTCTTTTTGGTCTTAACTATTTTGGAGAGTCCGCTTTTTTAACCCAATCATCTGAGCTTTATGTTGAAACAGCTTGTCCAGCATTAGGTGATGTATTTTGTATTGCTCAATCGTATCGGGCTGAACAATCACGTACACGTCGACATTTAGCTGAGTAAGTAGAAATAANCATTTTCTAGTCTCCCCATAGTCGCATCATTATCTATTGCGTAAAGTTGATTATTTTCTTTTTCAAAATGATCAGTCCAACGAGCTTTACAAAGTCCTAGAGATGAAAGCATCTTCTGAGAACCTTTTATTTTTTGCAACTAATTACCCGTGGGTCGTATCCATCGACAAAATGATTCGTAAGCAATTTGTCATTGATAGTATAATGCAAAAGAGTTAATTTTTATGTACTATTGTTTAAATGTGATTTTATCATGCTCGGACAAGACTATTTTTCTTTTCATAATTCTTAAAATATCACTAAGACTAATACTGTTTGATGTATTGCAGTAACTATACATGAGTAAGTTCAGTCAGAGACCTCCGTGACCTCCCTCCCCATATGGATAATGAGTGGCAATATTAGAATTTTCTAAAAAATCTACCACTTCAGCTGATATTTATGTTTTCTTTTTCCTAGATTCGTTCATCATTTCGATCAAATAATACTCTTAATACTATTGCACATATTGAATCAAATCTATCAAATTCTTTTAAAACACCATTGCAACTTTTCTCCAGTGCAAATGATAATTCTAATCAAGTACATTCGTTACCTATCAATTCTCATCCCCATACGTCAACTTCACCTTTACAATCATTGACATCACATATTGATCATTTAAGTCAAAGTTATACTTCTGTACTTAGTATGCATTCCGATTCAAGTCTTAATGGTACATTAATAAATACGAAATCTACAACACGAAGTCCTGGTCCTGGTGCAATATCGCTTACTTCTTCACTTCATTTACAACGAAATACTACAATTAGTAATAGTCAATCTCAACGAAGACGATTACTTCAACATCGTCGTAATCTTAGTGGTTTGGCTGCTGCTCAACGAGATCGTAAAAATTCATTTACTAAATCAAATACTAGTAAAACAGATGAACATCAACATATATCACAAACATCACAACAACAATCAACACCATTAGTTCGTGATACAAAAGCAATACTTAATGAACATTTAACAATGATTAATAATTTACTTTTAAATTATTCATTCAATGCTAGTATACAATATCCATCACAAAATTCATCAATTCGAGATTTTCTTTATACTCGTTTAAATGAATTATCATTAAAAAATCCAATGAAACAACGATGTTCAAGAATTGAAACAAAAGCTTTTGTTGATTCCATAACTAGTTATCAAATGGATCGATCTCATCACTATAAATATTTAATTAATAGTGTTCGAGATTTATTAAAGTCAAATAATGATCCTGTACGTTTATCAACTTGTTCAAGTGAAACTGATGATGATATACCAAAAAGGAAAAGTAACATAGATGATAATGAATTATTAAATACTTCAATATTATCAGTAACTCCTATAGAAACTACGGAACAAATACATGATATAAAATCATTTAAAGATCATCCATTACGTTTTTTTCGTACATTATCTATTGATTATATTCGTGATTGTGAACAAACAGAAAAAGATTTAACACAAAAATTATTTGATATAGCTGATAAACAACATATACTTTATTGTTTAAAACATGTTGATAGTGGTCATACAAATGATTTATTAGCTATATTTCATCGTCGACTTGATGCTATTTGTGTTTGGTATAATTTATATTATGAATTAACAATATCTGTTCAAAAATTAAGTGGTTTATTACGTTGTAATGATTGTGAAGATTGGCCAAAATTACATTTTCGTTCACTTGCAACAGATCGCGAACGTAAAGCAAAACGTGCCGATGAAAGTGATGATTATACAAGTGAAAATAGTTGTGATGATGACGATGATAATACAAAAACAACAGAAGAAAGTGAAGTTGAAAGCGAATCAAAACAAAGTGTTATTGAAAAAACAGAAGATGGAGATGATACTGATATTATACCAAAAGTATGTCAAAGATCTATTTTTGAATTTTTATTATAGTTTAAAAAAAATATTTCCTTTGCTAGCGAAGTTGTCATAGCCAGGAAAGATCATCTTCCTATGTTCTCTTATTATGTCTATACGACTAAAGAATTGGAATTGTCTGAAACAATCCAATCGGTCAATTTTATACTGATTGAAAGATTTTCTTCTTGTGTAAGATGAAGCTTATTAAAATATATGTAGAATAGAAAACAAGATTACCATAGACCGTTATAATCAATAGAAAAGAAAAGGATTTACTAACTGGCTCAATAGTAACATCATATGCTTATCTACTTTGTTAAATAAACAAATTCTCTTGGATCAATGCTTATGTTTAGCATACCATCTTTACTTTTTTTATGTAATATTATTCTATCTAGATCAATTGGTCTGATGAACCACTTGATCAATTTTCAAATCTAAAAAGTAACTTCATAACTTATTGAGTAATAAATAATTGATCTAGACATTGTTATCTAGTATCGAATGAATCATCTAATCCAACAACAAATGCTGCAACACAAAAATTAGATCGAACAGCTTGTTATCGGTAAAAAAAAAAGCAAACTATTTATTTTATTCTTATTAAAAAATTAATTATGATTTAGAAATTTTGTTTATTATATGGATAAACGTTCTTATCAAGTAAAATATGATGGTTTAGCTCGAACATTAATTGAACGTGTTGCACCGGTCTTATTCAAAACTCGTCTGGCTTTATTACAAACAACAGATCGACGTGAAATTAAAATTGAACAAGTACTTGCCGGTTTATCTCTATCTGATTTTCAATTATCAGATATAAATCAAATAAATTCTAAAACTACTCAAAATACAGATGATATTGATGATAAATTAGTTGATACAGATAATCCTGTTAAAGATGACAATACAACAAATATAAACATAGGTGAATTAACTATTGAAAAATGGTTACATCATGTATTGAAATCATGTTCAACAATAAAAATTATATGTTCACATACAGATGATATATTAAAACAAAATTGGCTTGAATTACATGAACAATTAGGTTTACCGTCACTATTACCTTTATATTTTTTTATTATTAATGTTTTACTTGATGTTATGAATGAATGCTTAAGTCTTTATAATAAGCCATATATGAATAATGATATCATTGAAATAGATCCACTTTGTCGCCAACAAGTAACACACAGAAATCATTTTTTTTTTGTATTTTTTTTCGTATTTTTTTTTCTTAGCTTGTTCGTGAAGCAAAACTTGTTTTAAGGTTAGTATCACCAAAAACTAGTATTCAAAATTTTTACATTTTATTTACTTTAAATAGAGATGCATTAGCTACACGTTTATATAGCGTTCGTATCATGGAACAATTTATCTCCAATCGTAAAATTGCTTATGAACTAACAGAATTTGATGAAAAAACAGTTAATCTTTATATGGTTCGTAATGTTTTTTTTTTTTTGTGAAACACGATCTAAAAGAAGTGTTGAAGTGAAAGAGTAAAAATTTGAACTCCCCTGTCGACCATATATCAATAACGTCTCTTTATAATATATGAACTAGTTCCCTATTGTATTTCTAGAGGATTAAGTAAACGGATGGTGAAGAAATGAATCTCAAAATAGATAGACTAAAACATTCTTCCTGTTATTAGCAACAGTAGCTATATCGTCTTTCACATTTTAATCCTGCAAGGGTTACGATAACATCTTTTTTGTCTTTTTTTATTAATATTAATTATATTTCTTTGTTGATTTTTTGTATTAGCATTATAAACAATTTTTAAGTACAGTGTCTATTAATCGAACCTATGATATTAATAATGATAGTCATCAAATTGCACTCAATGATGCTGACACAGAATATTATTATTATGTTGATGAAGAAACATCAGAATTAATAAAAGAATATTATTTTGCTCGAGATCTTACATTAACATTAGGCAATCGAGATTTAATTCATGCATTAGGATTTCAATTTAAGTTTGTTGATAGAATTTTTCTGTTTTGAATAAAAATTTTTTTGAAATACTTTTAGTGATCTTGTAAGAGGCATATTAGCGCAATTGAAAGAAGAATTATATGAAACAACAGAAACATATTATCAAGTATTTGCAGCTGATACAAGTAATGCATCAAATACTAGTGATGGACTTTATTCAGCCGAGTAAGTAGAAAGAACTACAATATCATATTACTTTTTTTGAATAATAATATATCGATTGAGATGGTGAATGTTTTTTTTTTGTATTATTCGAAAGAACACATTATGCTTAGCTTTGGCGTTAATGCCAATATTTCATTGTATTGTTTCATTATTAGATTTTGAAATATTGTCGTTTGAATCTTACTTAATTATTTTGTAAATTTTTTCTAAAATATTCTAATAGTAGCAGTTGTTTTGTAAACAACATAAAGTTCTTAGATCTCAATGCAAGATGTTTGTAATTGAGAATATTCAACTTAAAACATAACAAAAGATAATGTTAAATGTTCAGTTCAGAATTCAGATTTCGTATGTTTCTGTCATTGATAGAAATCATTCGTACAGTAAGCCATCATAAGCTACAACGATGCTTATTACTTATGTCGAAATTCTATATTCTGAAAAAAATCTATTTATTAGAATAATAACTGATTAAAAATACGTGAGAACTTCGAATAGGTTATTCAGATCGTGCATTTAACTTGTAAGATTCATAACAATATTGTCTAAATCAAGTGAAAGAAAATTTTTTTTTCTTGATCATATATTTAATATTTGTCTTTATTTTCATAGGGTCATATCAGAATGTACAAAGCCGCCTTATTTTCACTCGTCAGCTAGTGTTCCATGTGATTTTGTTCAAACAGAATTTTCAATGAGCGACGCAGGAGCATCTTTTTCTGAACAGAAAAAGTATTTTTTTTGATAATATAAATGTTTCTTTTTTTTTTTAATAAAAGGAACTGTTCTTTTTTTTCATTTATAGATCTGAAATAATCAATAGTACACGTGAATTTCGTCGAAGTTTTGATACAATTAAACAACGAACAATACGTATTTGTTCATTGGGTAAAACTCTTATTAATGTAAGTTTACTTAAGAATTCAATAATATCCTTATAGTTTTCTATTGAAAGTCAATGTGAATGTATCTTTTGTTGTCAATTCACATTCTATCGATGAAATTCAAATAGAAATATTATTTAAACATTTTTCGGAATGTATTTTTATTTTGAACTTTTTCTATAGGATTTTTCAATTGCAGCAGAATTTAAATGTCATAATTATCATGATCTATGGCATGAACTTCGACATCATAACTACGCACAAGTTAAACTTCATTTAGACACAAGTGTAAATGAATAGTATCTTTTCTCTTTTTACTTTTCTTACATCAATCTATTTTGTATCTAGAGTTCAGATGATTTCGATAGCTTTTATTTATTTGTTCCACCATGGCTGTCAACAGATAAAAATCAAGTCGAAAAATTACTTTATCTCATTTGTAGTCAACAATTACCAGCAGATGAATTAATAAAACCGAATAAAGATATTAAACCGTCATATATGATATATATACCAAAGAAAACTTCTCATTTACATAATACACGTTGGACCGGTGATATTGTTCTTATTCGAGCAAGTGAAAGTACACAATTAGCATTAAATTCAACCGAATTAACATGTCTTCATTTGGTTGTTACACGATCTGATCATTGGCAACAGGCTGTTGATTTATTTCAATTTCATACTGGATCAAGTAATAATATTCAATTTGTTAGAAAATTAGCTCGTGATGAAGATATTCGTTTAACATTCGATCAATTACCTGTTTGTATCATTTTACTTTTCAATTAAGAAAAAACGAACAACAAATCTATATGTTTTCTTTTTCTTTTATTAAATAGGAATTTATTGATAAATTAAGTAATCAATTGACGCATCTCGTTCGAATACTTAATGCTATATGGGATCAAGATTCAATAAAAATTTTTCTAACTGAAATCGTTAAATTTGATGAACGAGAGTTACGTACAATTGAATCAAAATTACTTGATCTTGTTTTATATGTATATAATTCAGGTTTTGAATTATTTCGTCTTTTATATGATCTTTTACCACCAATGTCAATAAATGATGATAAAATATTAAAAAAATTTGTTAGTACAATGAATGAATTTTTTTGTGAATGGTGTAAATGTGTTACAAAAAAATTTAAATACACATCAACACAACAAGCTAGCACAGCGAAATATAAAGTTCTTAGGTAAAGATTTATTCAATGAAAAATAAAAGACTGATAAAAAAAAACTATTGTTTTATTCGATAGACCAAGATGGTTTTCACCTGGAATGATTTTTCTTGGATTTTTGGCTAAATCTCCTCATTTACAATTACTAACTGAGGATGAATATAAAAAATTAATGACAGAAATGCCAGTTGCTCTTAGAGCTTTACGCGGAAGTACTTTGGATAATCGCGATGTATCAATAATAAAAGGTAAATTTAATTTAATTAAAATAAATAATCATAAAAATAACACAAAAAAAAATTAATCATTATTTTTATTCTCTATCTCTATGAAAAGATAAACGTTTTTTAAGTAATCGTCTTTGTCAAATTCTTGATATTGGTAAGCAATGATTAGTATTTAAAATTCCTCTATACAATCGATTGTAATAGAAATGTCAAATCTTACATTTAAATAATATAAACTTGGATTGGTTTGACGATTCTTCTAAAAACTTCACATTCTATTAATTTCTCAATTGGATTCTTTTACAGTAACATAGTATAGAAAAAATTAATTATGTCCATGTTTTATTTAAGTTTAAAACAAGGTAATCTTAAAATAAACCCTCGTTGCTCCACAGTATGCGACTACGTGAACATATGGTGTAAAAAGAGGAAAGTGATATTTTTTTACGATTTGAGTAATGTCCAATATATTTTGGCCAATGGCCAACTTTTTGGTTTAAAAATATTACTCTCGCTCTTTAAGACTGAGTAAATCCTAGACCTATAAAGTAGCGAAGTTTCTGTTATGTTAAAAGAAAAAATATTTTTCTCAATAAAGTAGAAAGACATACAGAAAAATCGTAGAACTCTTGCTCTATCGTTCTATATGAAAATCTTTGTTCTGACAGTTTCTATGTTAGAAAAAGTATGCATGCTTTCTCAACTGAGGATTTTCTGAAAACAAATCGTGCTCAATGTAATCGGTGCGCGCACACACACACTTTAGCGCAACTCAAAACTAGATGAAATTTTTACAGAATATTTTTCTATGTTTTACACGTCTACTAACTTCGCATAAAGATGCATACACATGCTTCTGGACGGACACAGGATTTCTGAATTCTTTTGTCTCAGAAGTACTTTAAGAGAAGAATAAGAACATATATGAAATCAGCACAAAAATTGCATTGAATAATGTGCCATTTGTTAACTTTTAAAATAAAAATTTTTTCGACAAAAGTTTAGAATAAGACTTACTTCTCTTGCATTTTACATCGAAAATCTTCTTTTATGAATCAATTATTTTTATTGAGTACTGGAAATCAATATTTCTATGAAAAAAATAATCGTTTTTGACAGAACATAGATTAGGTCTGCGTGCTCTATAGAAATTGCCCATTGTGCGATCGGATATTGTTTAATTGTATAATAACTTATGTACAATTTATTGTTAGATGAAAAAGAAACTATATCTTACATGATCTTTGCTTAGAGAGATAATAATAAAATAGCAAAATCAATTTATTGAAATAAAGAAAAAATTGAATTTTGTTTTTTTGAGTATGAGAAAAAATATTAAATCTCATTACAAAGAGATCATAGATAGAAATTTTTGTTCTTAACAACGGCATGAAATCACACGATATCTAATCGTACAAGATGCACTTTGATAGGTTTGAAAGTTACTTAATTTCTAAATCTTGATTTATTGTTGCCTAACTTTACTAAGAGCTTAAGCTTAGCTTTTCTTTTGTGCAATATGTGTTATTTTGATTAATTATTTAGCTCTGGATTTAGAGAAAAAAAAGTTCTTTGTCTTCTACTGATCATATAATTTTATTTTTTATAGCACGCTCAAATAGTGCATCAGCAATACCAACAATTCCTATGCGACCACGTAATCGATCGAGTATAAATAAATAAAAAAAATTCTTCTTAAAAAAATAAACTATTAGAACTGCTTCGATATTTTATTAGGTGGACACCGACGCTTTGATAGCAGTGGTGGTATTCATGAATTATTAACATCACCATTTATTAATCCAATTGAACGTATTCAACAAAGTATAGAACAACGTGAACAAGAATTACAACAAAAACTTCGTGAACGTAAACAAATTGGTCAAATATATAATAGTAATAATACAACAACAGCAAGTGGTACTACATTAGATCCTGTTATATCATTAAAAACACGTAATATTGATTTTCCTTGGCGTCGTGGTACACGTATTGGACAAGGTGGTGCTGGTGTTGCATTTCGTGCTATAAATTGTTCAAATGGTTCAATTGTATGTATGAAAGAAATACAATTATCATCCATAGCATCTCGTTCGTTACCAAATACGTATCCTGAAAAATTAAGACGTATTGCAGCAGAAATTGAAATGATTATGTCTATTAATCATCCTAATATTGTACGATATTTTGGTATAGAAAAGTATAAGGTAAAAAGCTTCTATTCAAACAAAAAAAAAGACCAATTTATGTAATATTTATTGATTGATATTATTTAGAGAACAATTTATATTTGTATGGAATATTGTTTATCAACAGTAAATGAATTTTTAAATGATATTCGTGCATTTCAAAAACGTGCACATAATAGAAAATCGAATAGTGGCTTATGGAGTGATTCAAGTGATCAAGATGATGAAATAAATACAGATAATGTTCGTTTAGCTCCATCACTGAATGTAAATGAACTTGTTCGAGGTTTTGTTAAACAACTATTACAAGCATTATTAGCTTTACACGAACATTGTATTGTTCATTGTGATGTTAAAGGCGATAATATATTTATTGCAAATCAAAATGGACATTATATTGTTAAATTAGGTGTATGTTTATAAAGAATCAGTATTTAAAAAAGAATATATTTTTTTATTCCATTAGGATTTTAATTTATCTCATCGATTGGAATTAGAATCACGTTCACCAAATGATAGTGACTCACGCAGTACACAATTTGGCACCTTGTGTAAGGATTCTGAAATGAATTTTTCTATTTAAAATGTATGAGATATTTAAATGACTATCAATGTAAAGAATCAAGAAACATCATTATTAGATATATATATTAAAGAATGAACTATAAATATCTTTATGATATAAAATTTAATAATCTCCACTTTACTCGAAGGTAATGTGCTGTTTTTTTTTTATTCCTGCCAGAGGAATGTTCTATATTGTCTTTTGACAAGAAAATTATTAACGAAAATAGCTTTCAATTATCGACATGCACTTCCATACGTATTGTAATCTTTCATGGATTTGGAAAAAAAAAGAAATGGAAAATATATTATGTATATTTTTATAATTTAAAGGTCGGATCGTAGTGAGAAGTAGGCATGTACCGAGCTTTTTTTCGTTACTTTCAAACACTTTTAGTTCAAAACCTTCAGCTCTTAAGTGAAAAGCTGAATCATGAGGTCTAACCTATCAAAAGATAGACCAAAGATCGCTCTACAAAATGAGACATACCCAAGCCCTGTGCAACAACGCCTTCAGTTTTTATAGGAATTTTACAAACAGACCCCGACCGAGCCTGACCGAGCCCGAGCCCCGAGCCTAGGCTCGGTCGGGCTCGGTTTGTAAAATTCCTATAAAAACCGAAGGCATTATTGCACAGAGCTTAGATATGTCTCATTTTGTAGAACGATGTTTGGTCTATCTTTTGATAGGTTAGAACTCATGATTCAGTCTTTCATTTAAGAGCTCAAGATGTTAATATAAAAGTGTTCGAAAGTAATGAAAAAAAGCTCGGTACATGCCTAGTGAGAAGGGTCAAGATAATCTTGATTCAAAAGTTCAGTGCTGCATACAAACAAAAGCGTACTACCATATTGAAGTGAATGTCGACAACTGACAACAGTGTTCATTAATGATTTTTTTAATGAAAAAACAAACTTTTGAGCAATTCTTCTATTATTCATAAAAAAAATCAGTTTGATGGTTTCAAGCACGGTGGAGATCTTCAAATTTTTTATCGTAAAGATGTTTATACTCCATTCTGTATTACAAAAGATTTTCAAAGTACTAAGACTTAGAAATCAGGCACATAGAAAAACAGAAAATTTGATAATAAATTGAAGTGAAAAAATAGATATCTATTATTGATGGATAGAAATCAACGATTGGAAACTTAAATGATAATATCTTAGACAAAATCATAGGATATCGATATAGTCAATCCACAAATATTTTGAGAACATTTCATGAAACATTACATGAAAGCTTATCATTCTAATAAATAGATAAATATATATTCATTGTTTGTTTTCTTCTAATAGATTTTAAACCACCTGAACCAGAATATGTATATCAATCTGATATTTGGGCACTAGGTTGTACTGTCATTGAAATGCTTACCGGCAAAGTAAATTGAAAAATTTATTGAAAATTTTTAATAACAAAACATAAACTAAAATAAAAATCTTTTGTTTTTCTTTATATATTAGTTACCTTGGACAAATGTAACACGACCACATGAAGAACGTATTTATATTCAAAATCAATTATTAGCTAAAAAAGGACCACCTATTCCAGATGAATTAAAAACAGAACATGAAGCATATGATTTTATTCAATTATGTTTAACACCTGATGTAAATGAACGACCATTAGCTAAAGCATTACTTGATCATCCATATCCTCGTGTTCGAACAGGTAAAATTTCAATATTTGAATTTTTATTATCATAATCTTTTTCTTTTTTATTAGATTCTTAATTGATCATCTTAACTGATCTGTATATTTATAAATATTTTTTTATCAAAAATGATTATTTTAAATCTAAAGACAAACGCATATTAGTTTTGACTTCTCGTTTTTGCTTGGTTAGATATTAATCAATTTTTTGTGCCTCGTACTTAACAAAAAAAAAATTAAAAAAATAAAACTTAGAGTTTCAAATGAATGATCATTGGAATAAATAAAAATTCTTTAGATGTATCATCGTTTATTTCATAATTTTTTGCCTCGTTATTTTCATAACAAAACACGTTTACCTGAACTTGATTTTACTAAACCAATAAGTGATCGTTTAAGAAAAACTTCTTTAAAAGAGCAAACATATACAAATAATAATGATAATCAATCATTATTAAAAATTTCACTTCGTGGTCAATGTCTATTTGGTTTATATCCAATTGAATTAGCACTTAAAAGAAAACAACGTCAATTTTATCAATTGTTTCTTAGTAATACATCAAATGATAATCGTCAAATAATACAAAATATACAACATTTAGCTGAACAATTATCAATACCAATAAAATATACAAATACAAATATCCTTGATCGTTTATCATTTGATCGACCACATCAAGGTATTTGTCTTGATTGTTCACCATTACCTATTCAAGATATTCAACAAATAGAAACAGAAACAAATTCAGAAAATAAAATTTCTCTTGATTTATGTCTTGTTAAAATTCATGATCCAATGAATTTAGGTGGCATTGTTCGTACGGCGCATTTTTTTGGTATTGATAGAATTATTTTAACTCACGGTACATGTCAACCATCACCAGTTGCTAGTAAAGCTAGTTCAGGTGCACTTGAATTGATGTCGATTTATACATGTAATGATTTAAAAACTTATTTAAATTCATTACACAAACAAAAAAATATAGCTATACTTTGTGCTACACATCAAGGAAATACTTCATTACGAACATTACGTTTAGATGATATTAAAAAAAATTTTTCTACTTCAAATTTACAACGTATTGTTGTACTTATTGGAAATGAACATGAAGGTATTTCTGAAGAAATAGTACAAATGTGTCATTATAATGTATGCATTCAACCAAATATTGCAAGTGAAATATCATCATTAAATGCATCTGTTGCTTGCGCTCTATTTTTGTATCATATTTCCGCACAGATGAACACATAGAAAATGTAACAATAGATAATATGTTTCCTTTTTTTTGTTTTTACAAAGTAAAAGACGTCATAGTAAAAAGTTTTCATCAATCTTTTTTATATTATTGACATAGCATATGTTTCTCTACTAGAGGTTCATTGAAAAAAACAAAACTTTAAGAGTTCTTTTCTTTTTTTATGCAATCTTGCTATTTTTAGAAGCAAAGAAAAAACTCGATTTATCTTGAATTTTTCAATGTATTTGATATAAACATATTTTTTTTTTATTTTAATTCCACACAAAATAAAGAGATGACATTGAAAATTTTATGCCAGAAAGTATCGTTGCTTGTTTTTCTTTTATTTAAGTAAATATAAATGAGCGCGAAGGCGTTTGAATGTAAAGATTCTATCCCCTAGCTAAACAGTGAGAGCAAGTTAACCGTGTGAGGCTTATTTAATGTTGTCTCGACAAAGCCTTTTCTTGTGACATATTAATCTTTCATAATAGAGTATTTTATTACATGATAATATTACATTTACGTCAAAATATTATAAAAGAAAAGAACCTACTAAATTAAATTTCCTTTTGGTTTATAATTTGTTCAGCTGTTCCATTGAATGATAATGAATACATACAACACGTCAATTTTAATTGACTTAAAAATATGTGTTAATATTTTTATAAAAAATAAAAATGACGTCAGATAATTTGTACCCAAAATAATGAATTTTTTTTAAATTTCTTATTTTAAGAGAAAATAGTTATTTAATAATTAAGCAAATAGGAAGAGAGCATCTTGAAAAAACAAAAAATAAGTTAGCTTGTTAGTTTTTTCTTTATAATTAAATAAAACAGTCTTATATATTTCTGAGTTGAAGTGCTGCTTCAATTATGGATGAAAATTGTTGAAACTATTACAAAAGCACAGCAGCTGAAAGTTAGCATTTCAGAAGCATGTTTAATTATCGAGCAAGTTCATTTTCTTCTCTATTATGTACAGAGGTGGCACGACCATGAGGGGTAGATGAGAAGATCACCCCGCCTCCTGCTTCAGAAATTTTGGCTGGTACTTTCTCCGATTTTGAGGAATTTACTACGATATTTTGTCCGATTTTGGGGAAATATATTATAAAATTCTGATTTCGAGAAAATTGTAGTTTAGACAACACTTTTTGACTTTCTTCGATTTTAGGACTCACCTTCCTCCCTGTTCCGACCACTTCGCGCTGCCCCTGACTATCCAACAGTAAATATTCTTTGATAATTACAGTGCGGGCATCAATTAGAACATTTAGGCACTCCAAAATTTAAGTGCCTATAGAAAAAAACAACATAGATAATAAACAAGAAAAAAAAGTAATTTTCCAGGACCAATCATCAAGCTATGAATAATAGTAACGTAATCAAGAGAGCGTGGATGATAAGGAAGTGCCCTGAGATCTTGCTCTAAATTCATGAAATATAATTTCAATGATAATAATTATACTGTTTTTCTTTTTTCTGATGGTAGGACGCCGTTCTGTCTTACCCATCTTTGTTTATGCTACTAATGAATAATAATCAAATCATAAATATATATTTTGTTAAAAGAAACTTTTGTCTAAAGGATTGACAAATACAATCCAAGATCTATAAAGAGTTCATGCAATTAATGCTTATCAAGCTGTATAGACTAATAAAACTCAAATAAGAGAATTCCAGTGAACTATAAGAAAATTAATAATAATTATAGATTTCCATATTTGTTTATTATATGCTTATATTCGCGAAAATTTTACAATTTTATATAATTGTGATTTAGTGTTCTGTGTATGATTAAAGATTACCTGAATGCGTAAAACTAAGCTTTAGTGACAATAAAAAAAAATTTTCCTTTGAAAAAATGTGAGAATGCATCAGACAATTTACGTACGTCTATATTAAGTATAATGCCATTCAATGATGCTTGTGTCTTTTTTTTTTCTATTAATACAATTCACTGAAAATATATTTCTCTTTTTGATTGAATGTATTTTTTTATATTGTATGCACTGAAGAGTAATTTAGATCAAAATGTCTAATTAACGATTTTTGTTCTAAGAGTTCACTGTTGCATGTGTTACTGAACATGCTTTGAAGTAAATTCTTTATTTCATTGATTGAAATTGATAAATATAGAAAACATTGAGTCTTGTTAAGAAATGAAAAATTTGTTAAAATAATACTGACAATTGAAATTTGTGTTAATACTTTGCATTTGATCATTTAAAAAAAGTTTTGGTTATCTATTAGTTAACTTAAGATTGATATCTTGATTATTCAAAGTTAATGAAATTGAAATCTTAAATAATATCTTACTATTGATGAATTTTGCTTAACTCTTTGAGGACAGACTGTTTTTTAAGACATGAAACGAAGTCGTAGGGTCAGAATCAGTTATAACCTGAAAATTATTAACTATCATAATTATAATACTTGCTCTGACTATAATGACACAAATAGAGACCTTTGAAATAGAAAAAGAAACAAAACACTCGAAGAATCTACTGTAATATATCCAAAGACAAAGTTTCTGCTGGAATTTTCAAATCGTATATATAAGACTTTGGTCCCCAAAGGGTTAATCTGACAAACAACATTAGCACCGTTATTTCTTTTTTCTGTCTTTTGTTTTAGTCTACCATGAACTAGAATGCCTGTAGGCAAAAAAAGTGTTTCCTTTGTTTCGTTTCTTGCAGTTATTCATACTGCATCAATGCTCTTCTTTTATTCGTATCTTATTTAGCTGAATAATATATTTGACTTTTCATGCGACTTTTTTTCTTATTTTTTGATTACTGCTCATTATCGTCATAAAGAATATGTCACACAATAACTTGAATAGAACAGCATTTTGTTTATTTTTCATGACTGATAAGAAGGGTTGATGTGTAATGTAGATTATGTCATACATGACAAAAAAAAATAGAAAATTAACAACGATTTGTTTAAAGGTTTTAAGATTTAAGTAGTAATTCCTTTGATTGTCGTCATATATTTTTACAAAAATAGTCTTATATTTATTTTCTATATCATGCTTTGAAAACTGACTTTTAGAAGTTATTAGACTATCAAGTTTCATGATTATCTTGGTATCTTCTAATTATAATTTCTATTAATTTGAAGAAAAAAAAAGTTTTTTTTATTAATAATCTCCATAAATTACATCATATAATCTCTCCAAGCATTTCGTTTTAAGTTTTTTTCTAAACATGTATTCAATTCATATAACTTTTTACGAACAATTTTTGGATTAGAATTTAATTTAGACAACTGTTCTCACTTAGAAATACAGTCTATAATCGACTGTAGACGTACCGATACAAATTTGCTATAATTAATTTAGGGAAATATCGATACATTCATGTTTCGTTGCTGGGTGACCTATCATGTACGATTTTGTTTCTTTCTAATTTGTTTTACGCATGAAATCTTCTTTTTATTATAAAAAATTATTTTTTGATTGATGAAATTGAGCTTGTCACGAGTAATGTTTCAGAATCAAAACAGTATTGCGATTTATGAAACGATTATTAATTTGACCTTCTTATGCATCACGTCTTTTTCATCTTTGTCACATAAATTACATAATGAGATGTACACATGGTTTTTTGTTCTTTCACTTGACAAATTTGTGCAATTGCATTGTTTTTACTCGAAAAAATGAAAGTTTATCATTTATCCAAGCTGTTTTCATTTAATATATTATTTTAAAAAAGTCTACGTTTTACTGTATAACAACAATGAGTATTGAACTTTTAGAAATATTTCTTAGCTATCATGTTTTCTATTAGAATTATTAATGTAAAATTTATCGTTTGTGATATTTCTTTCATTTCAGCTAAGCAATTGCAAGTTTCCTTCATCATTAGTCGATTTCAATGTTTTTATAAGTGAATGACTTCTGTTGTTAAAAGTTGTACGGAAAAAAAATAACGGGATTTCATAACTAAAATCTAATTATCTTTTAGTGATGAGTTTTTTTTTTGTATGAATTCTTATTACAGAAAATTATATAAAGCAAAAACAATTAAAATAAATTACTTTCTAAATTCTGACGAACATATTTGCACAGGAGCATATTTATTCTCAAGAATATGGATATTAGGAAAAAAATTCTATCAAATTAAACAGCATACACTTCACACATGACCTTCAAGTTTTTTGCTAAGTTTTTTTTTTGTATTTGATAAATGAATATTTCCAAGTGCTCTCAAGATCTGTTTTGTTTTTTGTTGTATATGAAACCAAAAAAAAAGACAAAGAATTTATTTGAAGATTGTTTTGATTTGATAAGAAGAAAAGCAAAGTTAATCGATACTGACGAAATATAATATCATTTAGGACGACACATTTCAGTATTTGGAATTCGTGAAAAAAAATAAATGTAATGGAAAGTTTTGTTTCTCGTTCAATAAGCAAATTTTTTTTAGGAAAGAAATCATTCTTCCGACGCTTCATTTCTTTGACAAATATATGGTAGCATTATGACAAATTATACGTTTGAAGTTTCCATAGGATATTTAGGTTATTTTTGTTCTCTACATCAAAAGGACAAGATGAGATATGTCTAGAATATTAGATTGCAGTGATATTTAAAGCTTATTTAGCTATTCATATTATAATGTCAATTACGTTGTAAACATAGAACTACTTACAAATGACTATTATGTATTGCCAAAAACTAAGTAATCTTAATAGTCTTGTTAATCAAATGGAGCTAAACATGAATATTTGAAAAATAGACAAGCTGTTGGTATAGATATATATATAAGAATTTATTGGCATTTTTCTTAAGTGTCCCTTCTTTGCTTGTGTCGTGGACATATTTGTTATACAACAACTATCGAGGAATGAGACAATATTCTGTTATTGTTTGTGCTCCGTTTTCTTTTTAAATAATTCTTCAGTTAAAATAAAATACATATTGAGATGGTTTTTTCTTTAAAAACAAAAAAAAACGAGAATAAATCGATACAGGTATTTTAATAAAAAATAACAATAGAACGGTAATCTTCTCTTATTTTCTTCGTTTTATTTTTCAAGTAGATGTTCGGTAATGAAAATGTTTTTCTCCTAGGAAGAATATTATGATTGATTAGTTTGGCGTATGATGATGATAATGATGATGGAAATACTTCTTCTTCTCTTTTTTTTTTTCTTGTTTATGACGGAGAGATATGCTTTCACTTTTGTTCTAGTAGCAATGTATTTATAATGATATAAGTTTCTCTAGTAGAAGAAGGAGAAAAGAGAATCAGAAAGCAAGTAGTCGATTGTTATAGAATGTCTCATTATTTTGTCTTCTTTTATAAAATGTATATTCACAATAACAATCCATCATTGTCGTAAAACCATTAGTATTAGATATATACGCATATAACCGGTAAGTTCTTTGTTTCAAAGATCGTTTTTCTTTTTCTGTCTTTATTCCTCATAGATTAAGTCTAATCGATCTAAGGAAAATAATAATAATTTTTTATATTAAAATACTTTAAAAAAGATACTATTAGTTGAATCGATGATGTTAAATCCTTAGAGAAACAGACGGACAAATAAAATCATCAGCATTCGTTGATCCAGCATTCATTATTATGCTTTCGACATCGACACAAAGCAAGAAGATGGAAAATGGTCTCATATATATTTTATTGAACCATCAAATGCTTCCCACAAATTATATTCGATTGAGTCAAATAACAAAAAAGTAGTATATTATAAGGTTACTTTCACAGAAGGAAAAAATATTAGATGGTTAGAAGTAAGATTCATTTTTTTTTGTTTCGAAATTGACTAATTTCCAGTGAGAACGTCCTGAGAAGAAACTGGATAAAAGAGATTCTTCGACAGTAGATCATGTGTTCATTTGATCTTAAATGCTTCAATGAATATATTGTCTATATATAACCACAAGTAATGTTTAAAAAGCACTAAAAAAAATTAAACTTCTAAAACTATACTCTTGTTGAGATATTAAAATAGCAATAAAAGTTCACGAGAGTCTAGATTGACAGTAATCATAATAGTATTCATGTATTGCATATTTAAATATGCAATACATGAATACTATTATGATTACTGTCAATCTTTACTTTCGTGAAATTTTATTACGGTTTTAATATCTCAATACGAGTATGATTTTAGAAGCAAAATTTTGTAATGTTTTTTATAATCTCACTTTAGGTTACATAAAGGCAAATTTTTATTGAAATCTGTCAAATTCATTGAGTAGAGTTGTTCGTCCTTATCGTGCAATTGATCTGGGGGTAACACCAGAAGAGCAATAGAGTGAATCTACTAATATCCGCCTTTCTTCGCTGCTCTTAATAAGAACTTATGAGAAATGAATATAGACATCGAGTGATACTATTGAAAACAACATCAAGACATGCAGTAGCAGTGTACGTAAAGCTATCATTAAAAAAAGAGAAAGATAATATTAGTTGATACGTTAGTAACAATTAAACAACAGTATGTTCACCGTAAATTTATTACTGTGATAAAGAGGAAGTTGATGAAGAATGAAGGCATATTAATCTAGGATAATAAAAAAAAAGACGGTTTCATGAACACTCTAAGGATGATATTTAAAGAGAAAATATTATATATTACAAAAAAAGAGACGCACAATCAAAGTATAAAATCGAGTCTTCGTGAACTGCTTAATACATCACGTCTTATGACTTTATATGCAGCTAGAATACGCTCGTAATTTGTCATCGATCTTTTTTTTTTATTTTTTTTTGCGTTATAAGACGGCGCAATTTTTTTTCTCTCTCCCACCCAAGTTTTATTCTACGTCAATGATGTTTATAAACGGATGCTCGTCCTTGTAAATTATTGACACACACAGATGAACATGTATTACAAAGTTACCATTAATTATACAAGAAAAAATTGAGTATTGACATTCGCATCTTATTAGGTCAAAATGAAATTTCAATGGAAACATGAACTTTTATGCGATGAGAGGCAAATAGTTCCTAATTCGACATGAATATCTTATGAATGTCAGTTGTCATAATCGCTATTTTATTTTTGTCATTGTTCATCAACAATATGTAATTAAGCATTTGTTTTTAAGCAACTAAAGATTATTTTGTAAATATATAAGGATAGTTTTTTTTGTATTCTATTACTTTTTATTAGAAGTAGTGAACAAAACATCATTATATATATACTATATGATTCGGGACAAAGTTCTTGAATAATTTTTATTAAATATGGCATTAGTTTCATACATCTATTTGTTTGATGAGAGAAGTATTAGCTTGCATAAATGTAAATGTGTCGTCCTCTTCTTTCATTATTCTATTAACATATATAGTATAAGTAGTTATTTGATTATTTTGAATATAAAAAAAATTTTTTCGTTTAGCTAATTATCAATCTCTCCATTCGATAGAATTTTTTTTCTTTTAGAAAGAAAAAGCAAGTATTTCTTTCTTTTTTTTTCTACTTATTCTCTTCATTTTCTTTTTGTAAATGTTATCTAGTGTACAAGTAATATCAATAGATTATTAGACATGAGTCTAGTAATAATAACAGTTACATGAATATAACCTTTCTATGTTTTTTTTTTCATTTAAGCTAAGAGTCTTCAAATAATTTAATAAAGCTAATTTAGTTTTCATTATCTATGTTATTTTTAATTAAAAGAAAGATGAACAATAATAAAAGGTTGCTTTTTTTTTCTATATTTCTTTTTGACTTATAGACAAAAATTAAATTTTGAAACATATGGCGTTAAATCTAACTAATTCAATCGATCACCAGTGTGTCAATGCTCATTTATATTCTCAAAATTTTGCATCAGTCAAATTACGTTTTTCACCAACAATAACAATATTAATATATAGTATTTATTTATTACCCTTTTGTTTCGGTATATTTGGTAATATAAGTGTATGTCTTATATTTTTTCAACAAAGAAAATTACGATCAATAACAAATACATTTTTAATGAATCTTTGTAAGTTCAAGATTTACTTTTAATAATAATAAAAAAAAAATAGAACAGAATCTCAAAAATATTCTTTTTTCGACTAAATTCAAAGGTTTAAATGATTTAATTGTATTATGTGTATCTATACCAATGACATTATCAGCAGCATTACTTGAACATTGGATATTTGGTGCATTTCTTTGTAAATTAGTTAATTTTACTCCAACATTAACAGCACTTGTATCAACATTTACTGTTGCTATCATATCTGTTGAACGTTGGTCTTTTATTGTTAATAAAAAAAAATTTGATCGGCATGGTACAATTGTAACACTTGTTTTACTTTGGACTGTATCAATATTAATTGCTTTACCTGAATTTATATCTCGACATATAGAAGAATTTGCACCACCACCATTACAATTTTCAATGATGAAAATAAATTCATCACTAAATAATAATAATAATAATACAGATTTATCAACAATGGATATGATAAAACCATCATGTCAAATGAAAAAAGTCTATTTTTGTGTTTTAAATCCTGGTTTACGTATGCGAATATTTTCATATATTGTTATAACTGTACAATATTTAGTACCATTTTTATTTGTATCTGTTAGTTGTTATTCAATAAGTCGTTTTCTTAAACGACGTATGAAACAAATGCGCGCATATCAAACACATGATTCAACAAGCTCTTATAATAATAATAATAATCCTAAACGAGAAAAAAAAACAAAATTACAATGTCAAAATTTTCAGTTTGATGGTATAAGTGAAAAAAGATGTACAAGTTATGAAGAATTACCTGTAACAATAATTACAAATGAAAATAAATCAAATAATTTATTAACATGTATTCGTAATATATTTCAAAATGGTGAAGAACATGGTCAAAATTCAATTGTTTTAGATCAACAAAGTCATGCATTATCTTCTGATGTTAATACAGTATTGATGCCAAAAGTTAAAAATCAATCACATAGTGAAAGACGTTTTCATCGTAGTAGAAAATTATTAATATGTGTTGCTGCTCTTTTTACTATATCATGGTTACCATTAACGGTTGTACAAATTTATTTAGAACATAATGAAGAAATAACACGTGATGAACCAAATTTTGTTTATGCTTTTTTACTTATACCTTGTTATTTGATATCATCACTATCTGCTTGGATGAATCCTGTTATTTATAATTATATTAATCGTAGTTTTCGTCGTGAATTTTATGCACTTTATCCTTGTTGTTGTAAGTTAACGTCATCATTATCATCACCATCATCTGTTCATGAAAGAACAACAATACCATCAGTTACAACAAAACGAGCACAAATACAAACATTAAGAGATATAGAAGAAAATACAATTGTTTCATTGCCTCGTCCAAAAAACAAATTAGGAGCACGTTTCATAACTTTTGCTGATGGAGAAACGAAAAGTGTAGCAACAGTGATGATTAATGAACATATTTGATTATTGTTCTATGTAAAATTGTTGTGTAAATTAAGTTTTTTTTGTTTCTTTGTTTTATCAAATAATGATGATAATACCAAATCGTTCAATGTTTAATATCAGCTTGAACATGTGAATTAACATTTTATTTTATTGATTTACTATTATGAAGAAGACAAAAGACATATAGAATTGATCTTGAAGAACTGATTGAACCAACGAAAATACACAACATTTCTTGTACTTTTCTCCCGAACTCATTTATAAAAGTCATTAAATATTTTTCTACTGCAGATGTACCATAAAATATATTGTTTTTGTGAAATCTTTAAAAGAGTACATATTTATGTGTTTTCTAATGATGTCTTTAAGTTTATTTTACGCAGTTTATCACTCTGCATATTATTATTTATCTAGATTATTTATTCTTTCTATAAATTATTCACAGTATCGTAATGTATTTTTCTATTATATTTTTAAACAATATAAATTTTTTAATGTATGGAAAAGATAAAGCAAATTAAAGTAAAACTATCCCGAATCGATTATATAGCCGATGTAGAATACAATAAAATATGTGGAAGACATTATGATAGTACAATTCAAAGATAGGCTTAGTTTGAATTTTTCAAAATTTCAACCGAACTAAAGTTGAATGAACTTGGAAAAATGCTCCATCGAATCAAAAGATCATTGAAGATAAGTGACACAATATCATATTGATCTGAACTTATTACCTATTGTTAGAAACGATTGTTATCGAAAGCACTTTCTTCTATTGATGAAGAACTACAATGAAGGCTTGGTATATATATGTCAATCCATGGTTTTTGTTTTGGTAATAATTTTCTTTTAATTTATTTGTATTAATCAATGACAAATATTTTCTTTGGATTGACACATGATATTTAATTATTGTGTAAATATTTTTCTCAACTAATCGACATAATTATGTTTCTTATATGCTGTTTTTCTTAACCGAAGAAAGACAAGAACATAAATGAGTACTTTCATTGATATTTTTAACATGAATTCTTTTAACTTTTCTTGCTCTTCATATTCATTTATTAATATAAACTCTATAAACTTAAATAGGAACTGAACTAAAATCAAAGTTGATTTAAGATATTGCAAACCGAACCGTATCCATTCCTCGTATGGTTAAAAGACTATTTATTTTTGATCTTTACCCAACTCTTCAGAATGAAGCAATTACTGACTGAGGACGAAACATTCTCGCAGGTATCAATTCGCTTTTCAGCCGAGAGTTTAGTATATCTTGTACATCGGTAATGAACTATGCCTATCATGAAAACAGTTCATTCTTCTTGCCTGTGTCGAAGAAAATCAAACATTTTCAGTAAACTTTCGCTGTAACACTACATATTTATAACAAGATGATATTGTCGAATTTTCAGTTGAAGCTTAGTCTACATAAAGACCTAAATTAGAATAGCTTGTATAAAAAAATTCTGAAAGATTTTATACAAACTTATCTAACTTAGGCTTTTATATGGATAAAGTTTCAGATTGAAATTCGCAAATATAACGGGTGGGCCAGAATAAATTATACTGTTTGTATTTTGAATATTTTCTCTTTATTCTTCATATGATTCAAACACTTTTTTTATCAAAAGATAGCGCTTGAAATTCTCTACAAAAATGNTCAGGACAGCAATATTGATCAAAAGAATCACGTTTTTCAAAACACACTCACACAATTGAGCAGTGTTGTTAATGACGTAAATATTTTCACCCAACTGGATGAATGTGTTGACTTCCTCACTAATGTCGATGATGCTAAAGTTTTCCTGGTAGCAGTCGGCACTATGGGTCTTCTAATGTAGGAGGGGGTTTAACACACATCTCGAATGGAGACGAAGGAAGTCAATGAGACATTGGGATCGAGAGATATTTGGAAAAGCATAGCCACCATATCAACTTTGGTTAAAACACTTCGTGCGAATGGAAGCGATGCATCTCTGTTTCCACTCGTCGATAAAAAACTATTGAAGAATATCAGTCCGCCTTTGTTTTTCTCCAGTTTGTCAAAGTCGGCTATCGATAAACCCTGCTCTCAAGAAACGGTAACATTTTTGTCGTGATAAAGACTTACCTGTTCTTTGTGTAAACTTTTGATGTGCCGACGCAGATCACAAAGAAAAAAAACTCTATTAATGATGATCTCGTCATCAAGTGTTTGTAATCCCCAATTGAACATAACGTAGGTGAAGCATTGACGTGTATACCATCATATAGCTAACGTTGAACGGTGAAAATGTTCAAATTCATTAATAATGCTCAATTTCTTCCCTTTGCCCATATGTAATGAACGGCAAGGGCTCACCAAATTTTTGATGACCTGTAGGCCATGTTTCATTTCAAGGAGGATTTCCTAAATATTTGAGAATACACGAGCGAGAGTTCCAACTGATTGAGATTTTTCTTAGAACCTTCTTTATTCATGCTGATAATGCTTACTGATACGTCATCTTGGTTGCATTGCTTGACAACTATTAGTAGTGCTTCATAGATGGGCATGATTACCATATGGACACTTTTTATTTTGGTCTAAGTTTTGGCCCAGGCTTCATGTTGATGTCCATTGTCAGAAAAGAAGTAAACATCGTCAAGTTGAGGAATATTGTGGATGAAAGGCACAATTTATTGACCCATAGTGCCGACTGCTACCAGGAAAACTTTAGCATCATCGACATTAGTGAGGAAGTCAACACATTCATCCAGTTGGGTGAAAATATTTACGTCATTAACAACACTGCTCAATTGTGTGAGTGTGTTTTGAAAAACGTGATTCTTTTGATCAATATTGCTGTCCTGACTTACCCTCATGGTAGGCAACGTAAGGTAGGAAACGACAGGACAGGGCGTTTTCGGGTCATATAAACTGATCAAATTCGGAATGAGTTCATAACCTCTTGAAAAAGCTCGATCATGTTCATGTCCAGTACTCGTGTCTTTTTGATATCATTTCAAGAAGAATACTATCTATGGCTAAAAACGACTATTTTTTCGTTTAAAATTCATTCAAAATTTTATATTTTTGTTTAATTTTACTTTGATTTTAAACTTTTTTTCGTTTTTTCTAATTTTAAGGATTTTTTCCAAATTTCTTGTATCGATTAAAATTAATTCATAAATTTTAATTAATAACAATTGAGAAATCTGTTTAATCAATTGAAAATAAGGATTGAATAAAAGTTCTGTATTAATTTTGTTTTTGATGTAGCGCTGTAATGGAATCTCACAGATATTTCATCCTTTTTTTTGTTAGAAAGAGCAAAGTATCTAGTAGAAATATATACAAATGAATATCATGGAAAATGTTCATTAGAGACTATAGAAACTTTAGAATAGAAAGCATTGAAAAATGATTCCGCAACGTTTTTTTAGAACTTGGAAAAGATTTCATTTAATCGGACCACTTTTATTTTTACTCCTCTCCTTCGAGTTTTATAAGATACGGGTAGTGAAGTCTTGTAGCACAAAAAAGAAGCCCTTCGTATTTTGATAATGGTTGAAACGAACGCTTTAATGATATCGTCTAATGTCTGCATTTCTCATCACTCTCGACCACAGTCAGAAAAATAAATTCTATTCGGACAGAGAGATTGTCAGAAACTATACATTTCCCATGAAAATCAAAGCTTGATGAGTCCTCTATTGCACGATATTATTTGAAATAGGACATAGGTTTTCTGTTTGATATTCAACCAAACATTTGTTTTCGTATTGGAAATCGTAAATCCGCAAAATAAAAGTTTTTAATGATATACTCTTCTGTTTATTTTCTTGTATGCTAGACCAATTATTTTACTACTACATGAAGGTCTTCTTTTTAATAAACAACTATATATAGACGATTCTCGAAAACACCGCATGATGATGAAGAAAAAGCTCAAACAAATATTTTCGAATTAAAATTATTCTGACCAAAGTTGTGAAATCCCTTTTCAATGCTTTCTTTTCGAAAATTTCTATAGCCTCTATCAAACATTTTCAATGATATTCATTTTGTATATTTTTGCACTAGACACTGCTTTTTCTAACAGCATCATTATTATTTATTCTTGACAAAGAAGCAGTCGTTTGTAGTTCAATCTTATGATTATTTTAGCAAGGATGTCTGACACTAGCAACCTACTAATAGAAAAACAAGATATCCATCAATGAACATATGAATTTTTTGTGGCCGGATATCATCATCTAATTGTGTTCAAGTCTTTTATCATTATCACTACACAGCAGCAGCACAAAAATCATTGTTTTATTAATTACTTGGCATGCTTATGACGTGATAAAAGGAGCTAATGTTCTCAAGATCAAAGAAGTTTGTATTGAGCAATGATAAATTAAAGTGAGTATCACATAAATAAAAATCTAATGAAAACAATCGAAAACATAAAATCATCCTTAGTTTGTGGAATTAACTAGATGATACTTGTTCTGAAACATTCCTGTTTGTATTTTGTAACCGATTTCAAGTGACTTTTTATGATAAAATAGTAGCAAGACAAACTGTTTTGCCCTGCTCTAATGACGGTCTCTGGCTCGACTCAAGAAAAAAATGAAATCAAAAACTGATAGGCAAGAGAGATTGACTACTAGTTTTTTTTAGACATCGCGTAACCACCTTTACGTAGTACTATGTATGCAAATCATCTCTTATGTGCTTAGAGTAAACTAGTACCTTGTATTCTATTTACAAAAGTCAAATAATGATCAATATTGAATGGTGAAAACTCTCGCTAATATATGCAGTAGACGAAATGTAAACGTGTTTTAGCTTATAGTGGCGTCTTAGGTAACTGTGCAAAAGATTGCAACTTTTGATTTTAAAAAAATGTCTCTCACTTGAAATTTTGTACATAATTTACTCTCTCCTGATGACAGTCTCTAATATGAGTACAAAATTTGCAGCTATACACCGTTTTGCTTGGATGGTATGCAATGATATTGATATAGAAACTGTTTCTGTGGATATCCCTCCACTCATATTGAGT